GGTGTCGTTTCTGAGGACTCTGTGAACATTCATCTGGATGTGAGCCATGGCGAGGTTGGGGAAGTCTCTGCAACAACCTGTTGTGAAGTGGATAAGTTAATGTTGGAATCTCAATTCCTTAATTCCCTCCTTGTCTTCCACTCACCATATTTCCAGGAAAAGCAAAAGGAATACCATCAAGATGTTGGGTATCTTTTTCTATTTTATATTATAAAGCTTACTCTAGCATATATCGAGTTATGAAATATGCAGTACAACACAAACACAGTGTAAACAAGTTTGGTTTTGAGTTATATTTCCAAATCAATCAAAGAGATATTTTGATATATTTGTCTGTGTTTATACAATTGCTATACTAGAATTGTTTATACAATTGCTATACTATACAATTGCTATACTAGAATTGGTATCAGAGCCTTGAAATCAGTCAAGGGGAACTGAGAAATCAAGGAAGCTTATCTGTTTAAAATGTCCGATGTTGAAGATGATCGAAGTGGGGGTGCTGCTGCTCCTCCGACGAGAATCAAGGAAGTCGGAACCACATCGGTGGTCTACCCAATGTTTACACTGTCTGGGCTCTACGCATGAAGGTCATCCTGCGTATCACAAGGTTTGGTCAGAAATCGAACCTGGAACAACTAAAGTTGAAGAAAAAGACTGCTTAGCAGTAGTCTTACTATATCAAGCAATTCCCGAAGCACTTGTGATGCAAATTGGGGATGTCAGCTCTGCAAAGGCTCTCTGGGAAGCAATCAAGGCCCGTCACGTTGGCGCTGATCGGGTGAAAGAAGCCCGGCTTCAAACCCTGAACACCGATTTCGATCGGTTGAGGATGAATGAAACGGAGACCATCGACTCTTTCACCGGAAAGCTCTCCGGTTTAGCTTCGAAATCTGCATCGCTTGGTGAAACGATAGACGAATCGAAGCTTGTGAAGAAGCTTCTGAAGGTCGTTCCCAGACGATTCATCCATTTGGTAGCATCACTCGAGCAGGTGCTCGATCTGAAATCCGTGGGCTTCGAGGACGTAGTCGGACGTCTGAAAGCTTACGAAGAGAGAATAAGAGAGGTAGATGATAGCAGAGATGGTGGCGCGAAGGTGTTGTTTGCCTCGAGATCGACTGGCGGCTGGAGCGGTGGTGGAGCATCTGGTTCGTCCGGAGGATCATTGGGAGGGACGAAGGAAAAAGGGGGATCAAAAGCTTATAATCGGGGGGACAAAACCGGGTCGGGTGGATCCGGTGGAGTCGGGTCTTCGAATGGATCCGGGTCAAAATCAACCCGACCCAATTCGGCCCAAAACAATAATAAGCCCAATAACCGGCCCAATTCTAATTCGGACTCGAACCGTAACCCGAAAAAAGATCTGTCAAAAATTATTTGTTACAGATGCGATAAATCGGGCCATTACGCATCCAAATGTCCGGACCGAACCCAAAAATTCCAAGAAAGTAATTTTACTGAACACGACGATGCCGATGAAACAGTATTTCTACACGAGTCCGTATTTTTGAACGAAGAGAAGGTGATACCGTCTCGATACAACTCACAAGAAAACGATGTGTGGTATTTGGACAACGGGGCAAGTAATCACATGACGGAAAATCGTTCATTTTTCTCCGAACTCGACGAAGGAATAACCGGAAAGGTCAAATTCGGTGATAATTCGTGTGTCGAAATAAAAGGGAAAGGCTCAATTGTTTTCCAAGGAAAATCGGGGCAACAACGATTGATAACGGAGATTTATTTCATTCCGGATTTGAAAATAATAATTTTCAGTCTTGGACAAGCAACCGAAGCCGGGTGCGATATTCAGATGAAAGACAACTATTTGACAATGCATGATGCCGACAACTGCTTATTAATGAAGGTACAAAGAACTCCAAACCGCCTTTATAAAATACAGTTGCCCATTGGAGTACCTATTTGCCTTCATTCAAGACTAAGTGAAGACACGTGACGCTGGCATGCAAGACTTGGACACATCAATTTCGAGTCAATGAAAAAGATGTCCAAGAAAGGTCTAGTCAAAGGGTTACCCTATTTTGACAGTGAGAATCAATTGTGTGAATCTTGCTTGGTGGGCAAGCAAACAGAAAGTCATTTCCATTAATGACGACGTACAAAGCAACACGACCATTGGAGCTAGTTCACGGTGATTTATGTGGTCCGATAACACCGTCAACGAAGGGTCAAAATCGATACATTTTCACACTAATTGACGATTTTTCACGGTATATGTGGATTTTTCTCTTAAAAGAGAAAAGTGAGGCGTTTTTACACTTCAAAAAATTTAAAGCTTTGGCGGAGAATGAGCTCGGAAAGTCTTTAAAGGTGTTTCGAAGTGATCGAGGAGGTGAGTTTACTTCGCTCGAGTTTAATTCCTTTTGTGATATAAATGGAATCAAACGTCATCTTACCGCCCCATATTCACCACAACAAAACGGTATTGTGGAACGAAGAAACAGAACACTTATGGACATGACACGAAGTATCATGAAGGCGATGCATGTTCCAAACTACCTATGGGGAGAAGCGGTAAAACATTCCACAAACCTGATCAACCGTGTTTACACAAGAGTACTTGGTGATACAACTCCGTACGAGAAGTTGTATAAAAGAAAACCTAATTTGGAAAACGTACGCATCTTTGGGTGTTTAGCATATGCAAAAGTTGAACCGGTAAACGTGAAAAAATTGGATGCAAGATCAAGACCATTGGTTCATCTTGGTTCTGAACCGGGTACAAAAGCCTATCGGTTATTTAACCCGGTTACACAAAAAATAATCGTAAGTCGAGACGTTATTTTTAATGAAACCAAAGGATGGAATTGGGTTAACGAAGCTACACCTGACAATGAAGAACCAGGATCATTCATAGTACCATGGGATTTACCGGAAGATGAGGCAAACAACAACCAAGGAAACGATGTAAACAACGAACCAAACGAATCGGATCACGAGATTGAAGACGGAGTGGAGGTACAAGAAAATGAGCAACCAAGTCCGGTCAACAACAACGTAAACAATGTTCAAAACCAAAGGCCCACAAGACCAAAGGTGCTTCCAATTCGATTACGAGATTATGTACTTTATGTTGATGACATTGAAGAACTTCTCCTAGCAACCAATGACGAGCCGGTATCGGTTGAAGAGGCGAAGAAAGAACCAGAGTGGGTCAAAGCCATGAATACAGAAATCAATTCGATCAACAAGAACAATACTTGGTCTCTCGTAAACAAACCTATGGGGGTGAAGCCCATTGGACTCAAATGGGTGTTCAAGCTGAAGAAAAATGCAGATGGCACCATAAACAAACACAAGGCGAGGTTGGTTGCTAAAGGGTACGTACAACAACCTGGTATTGACTTTCAAGAAGTATTTGCTCTGGTAGCTCGCATCGAAACCATACGGTTTCTCATTGCCTTAGCCGCTACCAATGGATGGGAGCTTCACCACTTGGATGTCAAGACGGCTTTCTTACATGGAGAGTTGAGAGAAACCGTCTATGTGTATCAACCGGAAGGCTACATAAGGAAAGGCGACGAGCACAAGGTGTACCGTCTTTCAAAAGCACTATATGGTCTTAGACAAGCACCGAGAGCATGGAATACAAAACTTGATGGGATTTTGAAAGGAATGAAATTTCACAAGTGCATGAAAGAACCATCGGTGTACCGGAAGAATGAAGGATCCAACTTGCTAATTTTAGCAATCTATGTTGATGATTTGTTGTCACAGGTACAAATTGAGCATGATCAAAAGGTTCAAATTTGAAATGTCCAAGAACTTCGAGATGTCTGATCTTGGAAGATTAACTTACTACCTGGGCATTGAAGTCAAACAGGATGAATCGGGGATTACAATAAACCAAGAAGCGTATGCACAACGCATTCTGAAGGAAGCCGGTTTTACATGATTGCAATCCTACCCACATTCCATGGATCCAGGAACCAAAATGTCGAAGGCCGAAGATGAACCCGAAATCGACCCGACACAATACCGAAAGTTGTAGGATGCCTTAGATATCTCTTGCAGACAAGACCCGATATGGCATATGCGGTTGAGTTGTTAGTCGATACATGCAAGATCCATGAGAATCACATGGTGTTGCAATCAAACACATCCTAAGGTATTTACGAGGAACAACGGGATACAGAATCAAGTACGAGAGGATGGGACAAAATCGAATAATTGGTTACAGTGATAGTAGTCATAATGTTGATCCAGATGACGGAAGAAGCACAACTGGTCATATTTTCTACTATGGGTTGTCTCCAATAACATGGTGTTCTCAAAAGCAAGATACTGTTGCTTTATCATCTTGCGAGGCGGAGTTCATGGCTGCAACTGCGGCTGCATGTCAAGCAATATGGCTTCAAGGTTTGCTAGGCGAAATCATGAACAAAGCACAAGAGAAGGTGGTCCTAAGAGTTGATAACAAGTCAGCTATCGAACTCACGAAGAATCCTGTTTTTCACGGAAGAAGCAAACACATTCACACGAGGTTTCACTTCATTCGTAAGTGTGTTGAAAAGGAACAAGTGGAGGTGAAGTACATTCCAGGTGAAAAACAAAAGGCAGACATTCTCACAAAACCATTGGCTCGAACCAAGTTCAAGACAATGCGGGACTTGATCGGGATTGAAGACATCTTTAGAAGGACTTAAAGATTGGCGGTGATCGGGAATCTCTAGAAGGACTTAGAGATTCGGGGGTGATTGTTGGAATCTCAATTCCTTAATTCCCTCCTTGTCTTCCACTCACCATATTTCCAGGAAAAGCAAAAGGAATACCATCAAGATGTTGGGTATCTTTTTCTATTTTATATTATAAAGCTTACTCTAGCATATATATATATATATATATATATATATATATATATATATATATAGCATATATCGAGTTATGAAATATGCAGTACAACACAAACACAGTGTAAACAAGTTTGGTTTTGAGTTATATTTCCAAATCAATCAAAGAGATATTTTGATATATTTGTTTGTGTTTATACAATTGCTATACTAGAATTGTTTATACAATTGCTATACTATACAATTGCTATACTAGAGTTAAATGGGTTTGAGGACTTGGGTGATGTAGGCTTGATAGGTAAAGACTCGTGTTATGTAGTCAAGACAGTTGAAGACTCCGGCGATAAGGTCCAGACAGTTGAAGACTCGGGTTATGTAGTCAAGATAGTTGAAGACTCGGGTTATGTAACCAAGACAGTTGAAGACTCGGGGGATGTGGTTCAGACAGATGTGTTGTTGAAGACTCTGGTGATGTGGTCCAGACATTTCAAGACTCCGGTGATGTTTTCAAGCCAGTTCAAGACTCGGGTGATGTGGTCCAGACAGTTGAAGACTCGCGTGATGTAGTCGAGCCAGTTCAAGACTTGGGTTTTGCTAATGATCCAATGGAGAATGGGGATACTGAAGTAAGAGTTATTGATGAAGCTCGATTATCGGACATTGTTGGTGAGGATGCCAAGTCAGGGGAGCAAGGGGAGCAAGTGAAAGGTAATCCAGAATTCATAATAGAAGAGATTGAATTTCTTGAATTAGATGTTAAATCTGAGGATCAGAACAAGAAGAATGTTGAAATCGTGGTTACCGATCGTGTTCAAAATACTTGCAACGAAGATGCTGATACGGAAGTTCAACAACTATCGGAAATTGATGATAATAAGGAATCTAAAATGTTGGTTATGAAAAATGTTGAAGATACTCCAAACTCGGATGACGATATAACACAATCAGTTATGGCTGAACATAAACAGGAGACAGAAGCCAACAATTATCCAATCACATATCATACTACAATTTCACAGGTAGAGATTGATTTTACTGATGTCAATGATGAAAAACAATCAGAAGAATTTGAAGTTAAGGAAGCTCCTATTGTCCACAAATTAATCTTCCCTGATTCATTAGTGATCCCTGATATAACGATGCAGTTTGGCTCATTCAGTCTTCATAAGAAGGATCAAAATCAGGAGACTGAACCCAAATGCAGTGCCAACAGTAATAATCTTGAAATAGTCATATGTGTTGACAAGGTAGTCAAAGATATGGATGACATGGTTCCTATGTTTTCTGTAGAGGCTTCAAGTGAGTTTGTTAATCTTCAAATTGAAGATACTGATAGCAAGGTATGATTTCACTCTTTTTACTTTCTATTGTTCTTACACAAACATCTGACCAGTTTTCTATCACGTATTATACTATATGTTGTAGTTCATTATTGGTTTTTGTTCTTGAAGCAGATACACAAAATGGAGGATATGATACACCATGAACCATTGGACTTAAAAGATAAGAATCAGTTCATTTGCGAAATCAAGCAATCGAAGAGTTATGTTTCAAATATGGGAATCCATGATGAAACTCAACATGCCTTAAACCAGAAAAGGGAGATAGAGGAGCACCTGAAGGTACATATACCTTCATATATCACCACTTTGTATGATTCTTAGACTACATTTTAAAGGGATAAATAGCTTGAATTTTGAATTGTATGCAGAATTCAGAAAAAGAAATCAACTCATTAGAAGATAATGTATCAAAACCTGAACCTGAAGTGGCGGCTTTAGAAATAAAGAAAACACATGAAGAAAATGAAAAAGAAAAAGAAGTACAAATTCCATTCCAAGCTGCGGCTAAACCAAAATCCATTTCAGTGTTTTCAACGGTTGAACATAGAAAAAAGAAGACGAAACACACTCACACTGATTATCAAACTGTAGGAAAAGTAGCTGGGAAATTTAATCATAAGATTAAAACTAAGGAACCTGTAAAAATAATAATAATAAGAGATTCAGTATTTGCTTGTTTGAATGAGATACCAGAGGATGAGGATGAAGAAAAGGAAAAAACCTTGGTGGGGTTTGACAAGAAGTCGGATAAGTTAAGGAAAGAAGAAACTAAACGCAAGTTAAAAGAGCAAATTCAATTGGAGAAGGTAAGTTTATTTCTTTTAGCATATTATATACATAAATTTGACTTTTATACAGGATGTTTTTTTTTTCTGGTTCTTTTTGTCAAAAAAAGAAAACTCTTTGGTTCATACATATACACATTAGGTGAACAGTCTCACAACCAACATGAGAAAAGTGTGTTTAGAATTGTAACAGGTTTTTTTAGGCATCATGTAACCAATCTAAGTTTTTGCAGGTGAGAGAAAAAAGGTTAAGAAAAAAAGAAAGGAAGAAGACAAGTGGCGACATCAGTATGAACAAGGAAATTGAGACAAAGGAGACAAAACCAACACCACATTTGTCAAAGCAGTTAGAAACCAAAAATCATCTTCGCTTTGGCTGTTATTTTAATTTTAATCTTTTTAGCTTACTATATAAACTAAAATATTTTCTTAGTCTTTTATAACTTTTTATAGATAGATTTTGAGTTTTGAGGTTGTAGGGTGGTTTCTAGTCTGCACATATGGTTATGGTTATTGACTTATTGGTTAAAGAAATATTCTCTAAATTTTTAGTCTCTTTCATGGGAAGCATACGTGGCCACATTCTGAGATTCTTTTGTACTTATTTATTGGATTTTAAAGAACAAGTAATTAACATCCAAATGGTTAAAGGGTATTGAATATTGATGACTATAAAATGGCGAGTAGGGACTATACAGTAATATTCTTGATAGAAAGGTGGCATGAGTTCATTAGTTGTCCTATTTAAAAGTTGCTTTCAATGTTGGTTAAACTGTTTAAAATAAATAATTAACAAGAGTTTAGATAACTGAGATAAATAACATGAATGATGAATTGGAACAAAGAAGTCACCAAAAGACTTCAATTAGCTCAACTTATATTTGGATTTTGGAAAAAAAAATATGAAAATAGATAATACATAACTGAAATTTAGGAAAAAATTGACACTTCTTCACGAAATTAAAGGTATTTTAGAGAATAATTTACCTGATTATAATTAAAACAATAACTTGTCCGATTCGTGGTTTTAAGAGCTAATAGGTAGAACTCAAAGGTATTATTTTTTTGATTTGCCTCAAATGACTTTAAAGATATTCGATCTTCCTCTTCCCATTTGCTGCGTTTTTATAATTTTCCTTAAGATTTGTTGAAACTTTTGGGGCCCCTTGTAACTTTGGTCACCCAGATCGCCCCCATGCCCCCCCCCCCCCCCCCCCCCCCCCCCCCCCCCCGCCCCCCCCTGAAAATGAAAACATTGTACTCAAAAGATGAATAACATTTCATTCTTGAATTTAAGCAATTAGAGAGATATCGTGATCAACTAGCTTTGGTATGCAAAACGAATTTAGCCCACTGAGAGGAAGAAATGAAATGCTAAAATAGCCCAAAAGTTGAGGTGCGACTGCGACCCAAAAGGTAAACCAACCGAAAGAGTAGGTAAGTTCATTTCTTTTAGCATGTTACACATTTCATTTTGACTTTTTGAAGATGCTTTTTTTGTTCTTTTTTCTCTTCATTTTGTCAAAAAGAATAGCTTTTGGTTCATACATATACAACTGACTTCACAAACATGTAAAAAGGGAAAAGCGGGCGGGTCCCACAACTAAAAATGAGAAGGTAAATCACAATGTCACAAACTATACAAACAAGTGGTTTTTAAACCGTCAAGTTATTTTGTTGTCATCAATCATCATGTAACCGAACGAGTTTGTGCATGAATATCAAAACATTTACAGTAGATTCTTTGGTTTCTTAAAATTTTTTATTGATAGATTCACAGTTTAAGTTATATTAAATTGTAGGGTACTTTCTAGTTAGTATATATGGTTTGATGAGTATTTTACAGTTTTTTTTTTATGTCTTTCAAATTTACACAAGTTCATGGAAAGTGTCATAGGAAACATTTTACAGTTGCCAAATGCCAACCTGAAGACAGTTGGAGTTGTACATTTGGCTATTTGGGTGGTACATGATCACATTCTAAGATTCTTTTTTTGTACCTATTTATTTGGAGTTTAAAAAACAAGTAATTGACATCCAAATGGTTAAAGGGTATTGGGGACCATACAATGGTGCTAGTACAGTACTATTCTTCATAGGAAGCTGGCATTGGTTGTCCTATTTAAGAAGTCCAAAAGATTTTTTTCACTTCCCATTAAAGATTTATGATTTTATATTACTTTTTAATGTTACTTAAACTATTTAATATAAAAAAAAATTGATTAACAAAAGTTTAGATAACTAAAATAATGAGACATGGATGATGAATCGGAGTAAAAAAACAATGAAGGGTATTCGATCTTTATTGGAGGTAACAGAAGAGCACAATGCCTTTTGACAACAATTATTTTGTAGAAAAGTTATTATAAACTATAGGATTAATATCATTAAAAACCTTGTATATATTGTATTTTTTTCTGTTTAAACCTAATTTGTTTATTGAGAAAAAACCTTATGTTTTTCCATTTTTCTTGATTTGGCCAATTTAACTGTTTTTTCAAAAAGTTAAAGGTTTTTTCGGAAATAATTAAAAGGTTGAGTGTTTTATTGGAAAAAAATAAAAAATTGATGGTATTTCTGAAAAATTGAAAAGATTAGGTCTTTTTCAAGAAAAAATAAAAATGATGTTTAATCTAAAAAACAAATATATAGAATCTTTTATATTGTTAACCCTAAAATGTATAGAAAACTAATATGCACCAAAGTTTTTAACAAAAATTTGATCATATTGATATGGAAAACTAGAATCATGTAAAATAGATGTATTAATGTATTATATGAATATTTAATCTGTTTATTAGGATCATCTAACGCCCCATTCAAAATTTTTTAAGAAGAGAAAGGGGAGGAAAGGAAATGAAAGAAAATGTGTGTTTTTGAATTTTTTGTTTAGGAAGGGAACGGAGGGAATCAAGGAAATTGATGTTCCCGAGTTTTATTTAAGAAGGAAAATAAAAGAAAATGAAGGGATTGAGAGGAAAAAATAAACTTTTTTTATCTAAGATTTATTTTCTTCCACTTTTGTAAAAATTTCTATTTCCTTTCACTTTTCTTCCTCTACATTTCCTTCCTAAAAAACTTGACAACAGGACCTAAATGTCTTTTTACAATAAAATATATCTAATATTATTTGAGGGTATAATCTTTGATCCGGCATAATGTCACGTATTTAAATAAAATTCTTTGATAATAGAGTGAAATAAGTAAGATGTAGACAACAAATCGGTGATGTATCTTTCTAATATTTCGTAATCATTGTTAATAAACAAACAAATAAATATTTTTTGTGTCTGCAATAATTTTTCAGAATTTGTAAAAGAAATGATAATTTTTATGTTAATTATAGAGTAAAAATGTATGTAAAAAACGTATTTTCAACCAATATTTATTTTATCAACACTGTAATAAATTCAATATTCAAGAATTTATAATACAAGCCATTAAATAAAAAAGGAATTCCGTTATCAAATAAAAAATCGATTATCAATAAACTAATTTCCGTTACAATTAGTCGGTTATCATACACACTAACTTAATAGTTATTTTAATAATTAAATAGTATCTTTGACTTGTATTAGAAATATAAAAACAATTTATTAAAAAAGAAAGAGAGACAAAGAAATAATTAGTGTTGTGGAAACATAAAGGTGACACTGCACATGTTCACAAATGCATTGTACATGTTCAGCAATGTGCCTTTGCTTTTGGTTTGGTAATGAAAGATCTATTTGCCCACAAACTCACTCTTTCATGTAATTTTTAAAATAAGAGCAAATTTAACGTATATTTTTTTTTTTTGGGAAAATGACTTAGGAGGGTAACTACCTCTTATCCGTGTTCACATATTGGCAACTTCTTCTTTTTTGTACATAAGAAAACAACTAACTTGTTTTAACTGTTTAAATTACACCAATATTACCGGCTAATACATATTTTAACCGGTAACTCAAAGGGAAAATGACTTAGGAGGGTAACTACCTCTTATCCGTGTTCACATATTGGTAACTTCTTCTTTTTTGTACATAAGAAAGCAACTAACTTGTTTTAATGTGTAACATCCCAAAAAATCATGACAAAAAATTTCGTTTTTAATTTAATACTAAAACCATAATTGTCAAACCATTAATTTAATACTCCGGCATCAAGTCCCGCCCCGCATCAGGCCCCGCCTGGCATCGAGCCCCGCTCGGTATATAGATCTGTCTCGCTTAGGCCCCGCCTGTCTCCGGGCCCCGCCCGCTAAACACATACAATCATATAACACCCTAACACATAAAGAAACACACTCTACTGTATCCTTGTCCTAAGAAACATACTCTGCTAATAATGAGATACATAACCTCCTCACTGTGTGAATGGGTCTAAGGCCACAAGGCCAACCCATGTAGTCTATGAGTATGAAGACCCGGGGGTTAGCCCTAGGCATTGTATGCTAGTACGTTATTCCGGACCAAGGTTCGATGCCGAGCGGGTGCCCGAGGAATGTTTGCATGTTAGATTATACTTGTTGTCTGTGTGATACTTGTATGTGCCTGGTAGGGAGGTGAGTGTGGGCGAGGTCTCGTATCTCATCACTAGCTGAGTACGGACGAGGTTCCGTATCTCATTGTTAGCAGAGTATGTTTCTTAGGACAGGGATACAGTAAAGTATGTTTCTTTATGTGTTAGCATGTTATATGATTGTATGTGTTTAGTGGGCGGGGCCCGGAGACAGGCGGGGCCTAAGAGAGACAGATCTGTATACCGAGCGGGGCTCGATGCCAGGCAGGGCCTGATGCCGGGCTGGGCCCGATGCCGGAGTATTAAATTAATGGTTTGACAATTATGGTTTTAGTATTAAATTAAAAACGAAATTTTTGGTCATGATTTTTGGGATGTTACACAGTTAAAACAAGTTAGTTGTTTTCTTATGTACAAAAAAGAAGAAGTTGCCAATATGTGAACACAGATAAGAGGTAGTTACCCTCCTAAGTTATTTTTCCTTTGAGTTACCGGTTAAAATATGTATTAGCCGGTAATATTGGTGTAATTTAAACAGTTAAAACAAGTTAGTTGCTTTCTTATGTACAAAAAAAAAGTTGCCAATATGTGAACTACAGATAAAAGGTAGTTACTCTCCTAAGTCATTTTCCCTTTTTTTTTTTGACAACTTCGTTGTAAATAAATGTTGGAGACGTTAAGATTTATACTAATGCAAAGGTGGTTTGATACCTTTTACTAAGTTTGGTAAGCGGTTGAGTATGGTTCAGTTAGATTCAGACCGTTTGATTTTATAATTAAAAACATTTGATTCAGTATTTGTCTTATAGCTACTGATTGTATCTTACAAGCTGGATCTCACTCAATAGACACATTGACCCAATCAACAACTATAAAACAATCCTTAAAGAATCTTGTATAGAAAATATATAATCAATTTAATTAGACATATAATGTATATTTTTATATATAAATTAAAATAACACACTGTTCAAAAATATTTTTTTTTTATTTTAATATAGTTTTTATAAGTATAAT